CATATTGGTCAATTGATTTGCATTATCTTGCAGGGTTGGTTTTGGACGCATCCGAAACCATTCTCATGAGCTATAAATTAGCTAATTTGTTTGCATTTGTCTAAGCATTGGTTTTTGACGCATCCAAAACCATTTCCATAAGCGCTAAAATCGGCTGATTTGTCTAGGGATTTTTTGCTAAAATCAGCGAATTGGTTTCCATTTCTCCAGGATAGTTTTGAACATATTGGTCAATTGATTTGCATTTTCCCGCAGGGGTTGGTTTTGGACGCGTCCAAAACCATTCTCATGAGCTATAAATTGGCTAATTTGTTTGCATTTGTCTAGGGATTGGTTTTAGATGCATCCAAAACCATTTTCATTAGCGCTAAAATTGGTGAATTGATTTGCATTTTCCTGCAGGGTTGGTTTCGGACGCATCCAAAACCATTCGCATGGGCTTTAAATTGGCTAATTTGTTCGCTTTTGTCTAGAGATTGGTTTTGGATGCATCTAAAACCATTTCCAAATGCACTAAAATCGGCTGATTTGTCTGGGGATTTTTTGCTAAAATCAGCGAATTGGTTTGCATTTCTCCAGGATAGTTTTGGACATATTGGTCAATTGATTTGCATTATCTCGCAGGGTTGGTTTTGGACGCATCCGAAACCATTCTCATGAGCTATAAATTAGCTAATTTGTTTGCATTTGTCTAAGCATTGGTTTTGGATGCATTTCATTAGCGCTAAAATTGGTGAATTGAATTGCATTTTCCTGCAGGGTTGGTTTTTGACGCATCCAAAACCATTCTGATGAGCTATACATTGGCAAATTTGTCTAGGGATTGGTTTTGGACGCATCTAAAACCATTTTCAAAAGCACTAAAATCGGCTGATTTGTTTTCATTTGCCTGGGGATTTTTTGCTAAAATCAGCGAATTGGTTTGCATTTCCCCAGGATAGTTTTGGACATATTGGTCAATTGATTTGCATTTTCTCGCAGGGTTGGTTTTGGACGCGTCCGAAACCATTCTCATGAGCTATAAATTGGCTAATTTGTCTAGAGATTGGTTTTAGATGCATCCAAAACCATTTTCACTAGCGCTAAAATCGGTAAATTGGTGAATTGATTTGCATTTTCCGGCAGGGTTGGTTTTGGACGCGTCCAAAACCATTCTCATGAGCTATAAATTGGTCAATTTGTTTGCACTTGTTTAGAGATTGATTTTGGATGCATCTAAAACCATTTCCAAACGCACCAAAATCGACTGATTTGTTTTCATTTGTCTGGAGATTTTTTGCTAAAATCAGCGAATTGGTTTGCATTTCTCTAGGATAGTTTTGGACATATCGGCAAATTGATTTGCATTTTTCTACAGGGTTGGTATTGGACGCGTCCAAAACCATTCTCATGAGCTATAAATTGCCTAATTTTTTTGCATTTGTCTAGGGATTGGTTTTGGATGTATCCAAAACCATTTTCCTTGGCGCTAAAATCGGTAAATTGATTTGCATTTTCCTATAGGTTTGGTTTTGGACGCATCCAAAACCATTCTCATGAGCTATGAATTGCCTAATGTGTTTGCATTTGTCTAGGGATTGGTTTTGGATGCATCCAGAACCATTTTCATTAGCGCTAAAATCGGTAAATTGATTTCCATTTCCCTTAGCTGATGCTATCTTAACCAAAACTATTGTAAATTATAGCATATTCGTACCATAGATTCCTTGTATATTATTGCCTTTATTGTATATAATGTATCTTAATAAAGTGGGTAAATAAAGGTTTTTTAATCTGTTGTAAAGTCAAAGTGTGTATTTACTGTTTAGTTGTTTTTTATGTTATGTTAGGCGGTTTTCGATATATTCAAAAACGAGTGCTGTTGAACGCATTCAAAACCACTTCTCCAATTACTCCTTCATAAATGTTTTTAATTGCATTGGATCTATCCCATTTGGACAGATTTGATCATTCCCCTGCAATAGTTCCAGAATTGATATTTTTCTGGACTATTTTTAATAAATTAGCTTGATTCTGCAAGACGGAAACAAATTATGGCCGGTTTTTGACGATATGAGCTGATATGTAGGCATTTATCTAAAAATTAGGCTAAATAGAATATGCAACCCTATCGTAGAATGTGTTATTTATACTTCCATGTAAATAACTTTATATTTATGTGTGTGTCGTCTGTTTTTTGTCTTCTATGATAACGTTTTGATGTATTAGTGAGCTAAGTCTTTTTCTTTTTCTATTGTATTTCTTATTTGCCGTCTTGTTTTGTCTCCAAGTAGAGTCACATGTGCTACCTAAATTTATTAGCTTTTATATAGTTATTATAGGTAGCCTTTACTCTAATTTCTGTATTTGTAATTGTTGTTGTGTTTTTCAAATTCGCACTATGTAATGAAAGAGTATAAATAAAAATTATCTTATCTTATCTTATCTTATCTTATAAATGCAAAAATTTGTCATGATCAATTTAACCCTTTTGGCATAATAGTGCATAATCCAAGTGGGGGCATATGCATACACAATTTAAGACCTACTGTAACCAGGAATGGTTGCGAACACTAGGTCCTCTTCCAGAAATCAAACCTGTAGCCCTACAATTCCAGTATAGCACTCTAACCAACTAATGTACTGTACCTATCAATGTTAAGCCCGGGGGGCAAGGGGTTGAGATTTGCACAACCTTGCTTGCCCGATGGGGAGGAATTTGATGTTGCAAGATCACCCCGTTGTGTGGACAGGGCTGCCGAGAGAATATGTGGGGCCAACCTCGTTCCCAGGGCTTTTCCCTTTTTGTCATTGGGAAGGCGGGAAAAGGCCCTGGCACCGGCCGGTCTTCTATGTATTCTGATTGGTCAATGACAAGTACATTATTATGCAAATAATGCAATCTTGGATTAATTTATTCAAACTTTGGGATAAATTAACATTTCATGCAAGGAGTGTCCATTATTAATACTTTGTCCGCCTAAGAAATATTTTTGGCAAAATCTGTGGCAAAATTCGATAAGATTTATACACAATTTGTCGAAGGTTAGTATTATTGTTTGTTTTAAACTATGAGAGAAGATTCATTGTGTACTAGAACATACCTCTGAGGCTCTGACCGAGTATTTAGGGCAAAATGTGCCTTCATATTCGGCTTCGTATAGCGTTTATTATGTTTATATTTATAAAGCTAAAGTCTGGGTATATAAACTGAAACATGACCTTTAGTTTTTGATATATCATATTACTTATACTTTCCTGCAATTTCTCCAATAGGTATAGTAAATTAAATACGCCTTCGCCCATTTAGTACTATTAAATTGTAACCAAATTGTAAATTTCAACAAACTAAAACACTATTTTCTGCCCATTAGAATTCTGTCAAAACTTCACCAAAGTCCAGAAAATGGCATTTCAGAGACTCTAAATTTAAATTTGTTCTCTGTCCCCCAATAAAAAAGAGCTCCCTACGGTACTGCATTTTCTTTAATACGTACGTCTATGCGTAAAACATGCGTATATTTGTTTGTAAATAGCGTCTTCATTTTCCGGATAGCAAACACATTCGTGGCTTCACATGGCATGAAATATTTGGAAAATGTTTTCATCACTTCGGAAATTTTTGGCCTACACCTCCCCACCCCCCAACTATACATGCTAGCAACGGCTTTGTAATTGGAATCCGGAATCCACTATAGTTTCGGAATCCGGAATCCAAGATGTGGAATCCGGAATCCAAGGAGTAGGATCCGGAATCCAAGCAGTGGGATCCGGAATCCAAATACCTCCTGGATTACCTCACATGGGGCGACAATGACATTTTCAGAGCTCTGGATCATTTTCATTACTTTATTTGTGAAGAGTTTATTTTGTACTGTTTAATAAACAAGCAGGAGTGTTTTATTAGGTTTAAAGCGGCCACGAGCGCGCAGCGCGAGTGGCTTTAGACCTAATAAAACATGACCTGCGAGGCTTCAAACACGACTACAATTTCAATAGATATACTGCCTTATTAGTATTCTTTATATAAAGAATACTAATGAGGACACGACTACAATAGATACGGCCTGATTAGTATTCTTTATATAAAGTATACTAATTAGGAGTGTTTTATCATGTTTCAAAGCCGCTGCACGTGACATATTATGATTGACATGATTTACCAATAAGCTTGTGAATTATTAATGAGTGTTTGAACTTATACTTTGATTTATATACATTTTTAGATTTGATTTGTCTTCATGTGATAAAATAAGAACCTGAAATGCTAGCCTAAGCAAATTCTTATTTTAATAGGGTGTCTAAATAACAAAAAAATTAACCTGACAGGTTCTTAAATTAGTTGAGTTTGTTTACATCATATAAGTTTCTGTGACCAAAATGTTTTATAAACTAAATGTCTTAGGCCGTGTTTATATGGAGGCGAGCCAGCCCGGTTACCTGTTAAATTTCATTTAATTTATTAACTTCGCCAGATAGTCTTAACAGTTATTACAAAGTAATAATTTAAGGAATTAACTAAAAGACTATATGGCAGGGTATTAATACTATTATGTATATCAGGGTACCTGAGCTAAGCGGCTTTGCCGAGCGGATTTTATTCTCTGGCGGGCTGACTCACCAAATCAATAAATTTTTAAAATTATATACTGTATCAAATATCTTACTTCCAACAATATATTTGTATTCAGCAGCTTAGGCAAGCCAGCTCACCTACTCAACTAGGCGAGATCTGTTTGGGCTTTACAACAATCTCGAAACCAGAGCCCGCAATCCTCTGTGAAGGCTTGCTGAGGCTCTGGGAAACACCGGTGAAAGTCGGGCTCTGATTGGTTCTTTTTCAACATCCTCGTCCCCAGGCCCAAGCGGCCCTCAAAGTTTTTCAAGTGCTAATTATTATTCAAACTTTGAGCCGTATTTAGTTATTCGGACTTCAAACATCGTTTAATTAAAATTAATATAAAGTTTATTTCTCTTTGTGTATTATGTTTAAACATATCAATGAAACACACAGCATAACATTAATAAACTTATTAAGCTTTCCTAGCTTCTCATATGAAATCAAAAGACTATTCTATTTCTGATATTGATATGCTATAAATAACAAAATTAGAATAACAACAGTGCAGCATTACCATATAGGTCATGATAAGCCGTTGCCTATAATATTTAAAATAACACAACAATCCATGATTTACCGTAATTAAACAAGTTAAAATAAATCACTACCAGTATCTTACAACAATTCAAAACCATGGCAAGTGTTCTTCGAAGAATTAAAGTCGTAATAAGCTTAAACAACGGCATAATTCATGTTTGACGGCAGTAATGTTTATTTATAAATGTCGAGCGGAGTACTGGATCCAAATGTATTGATTTTCGTGCAAAAGTCGCCGGTGTTTCCCAGAGCCTGAGCAAGCCTCCACAGAGGATTGCGGGCTCTGGTTTCGAGATTGGCTTCACAAATTAAGCAAGATTAACTTAGGCGAGCCAGCCTAGTTCCCATGTTTCCAAATAAACACAATATGAAATTTTAAACTGTTAAATGCTTTGATCAAATTAAAATATACTTTGATCAGAGAAACTTTTTATCTGTTTCTATTAAGTGAGCACAAGTTGTCCATGAGAAGACAGTCAAAGACAGTAAAGCACGGTCAAGTAGATTAATTTATATCATTTATCACTCTGACAATAAACACTTTATAAACAGCCATGCAAGACATGTTGACTCCAAATTTCTCATTAACACTTTTTCATTGACAACTCCTACAGTACTCACGAGTATCATATCTTTAGGCCTTAAAAACGTAGACAGAAATGGCACGCTCTCCATCGAGGAAAACAATAAAATAGATACACTTTGATACACTTTGGAAGCATCCCTGCTAGCGTGGTGTTCTTTCCTACTCGTCATGTTGCCTCAATAACTCGTTATTTGACGGATTGTCGCTCAAAAAAGCTCAATATATTTTGGAAACTTCTAGCTTCACTCCTTCGCTTGCGAAAAAAACAACGCGCGTGTTATTGCCAGAAATGAGACTGGACCGAGTATAAACCGAGATGCCAACTTCCGGTGGAGTCCGCAGGCAAAAACAATCACAGGCATGCGCAGAAGGGACTGTAACCTACCTTTAACAAATGAGTGCGCCCTCTAAACGTAAACAGTTTAACCCAAACTCGACTGATATATTCGTACTTCAATCGCACTTGAGGGCATCTCCCTCGAGTTTAACTGGAGCATGGGTATATGAGTGAGCTTTTAGAATACAGGCGTTAGAATAAAGCTCAAAAATTATCATTTTCCGGCCATTTTAAGAATTTTCCGTAAATCGTTTTAAAACTTTACATACATGTAATGAATTCTGATAATAAATATTAATGCCCAGCAAAGTGCTTTTAAAAGAGCCATAAACCATTAAATTTAAAAATTTTATTAAAGATTTAGTAACGTTTCGTCTTAACTCAAGACATCTTCAGACTATATTAAATTACAAGCTGTAAGAGTAATTAAGCATAAAGTAAAGCTATTATAGCAATATTAAATTACAAGCGAAGACGAGGTACACAAAACGTAAGGATAAGAATGGATAATGAAGGGAAGTGACGGACAAAAATGAGAACAACCAAATTAGACAACACAAACAGACAAAACATAAAAAAAGGAGATCAGAATACGTGAAGAGGGATTGAACTGCCTTGAACGTTGAGAGAGGGTTTCATTTTAGAGATAAAAAAGCTTTCATGAATGAGGAGTTCTTGTTCATCTGAACAAGAGGAGAGGATTTCGAAGTCGTCAATAGAAGCAGCGTGGCCTGTGGATGTGAGATGTGAGAAAATGCTGGACTGGGGAGGATTTTTACATTGTTTGCCAGTGATAGGAGTGATACCCAGATGTTCCGAAACTCGGGTGTGTAGATGGCGCGTGGTTTGACCCACATACGATGCGGAACAGCATCGACACGTAAAAGAGTACACTACACCCGACTTCAGTGCTTTGGGTATTTTGTCCTTAAAAGAGAAAAAGGTTGAGAGCCGTTTAGTTGATCGAAAGACAAATCTTATATCAAGATGTGGGAAAGCAGCACGACAAAGACGGTTGATTTGCGTGCGAATTTGCAAGGAGTGAGTGCCCGTAAAAGGGAGACAGAAATAAATTATTTTCTTAGGAACAGTATGAACAGGTAGCTTAGGTTGAAATACTTTGTTAAGAAAAGTTCTAACACATCGGTCGAACATATGAGAAGGGAAACCATTTAAGATAAACATTCTACGTGCTGCTTCAAGTTGGTGATGGAAAGTCTCATAGCTAGAACAAATGCTAAAGATGCGGTGTATTAAGCAAGATATTATGCTGCGTTTGTATGTAAGTGGAATGAAGCTATGGAAGTTAGTAAAAAGACCAGTAAACGTAGGTTTACGGTAAACAGAAGTAGAAAATTTTCCATTGGAGCGGGATATGTCAATGTCAAGAAATGGGAGCTTACCATCACGTTCAACCTCACTAGTGAAGCGAATATTAATGTTGGTGTGCTGGCGATTAAGATATGTGAGAAAGAGCTGTACATGCTCTGAGCAACAGAAAAGTAGGAAACAATCGTCAACATATCGTCTATAGAGAAGTGGTTTGAAAGACGAAGGACAGTTGTGAAGCCAATCCTTTTCGTGAAAGGACATAAATATGTTAGCAAACAAAGGTCCTAAAGGACTACCCATAGCTACGCCGTCAACTTGATGATATAAACGACCATTGTCATTTCGTGTTCAATGGTCGTTTATATCATCA